TGTCTGCAAAACACATTAGTCAATGTAAAATCAAACATCGATAAAGCATTCTAAGTTCTAACAGACTAACCATTGACCATCCAAATAAGATATTATATACCAAACTCACAAACAAAAGCATAGTTCGTGATCGTGACTCGTGAGTCCTAAGTTACCAGTGGCGAAGAGTCACATACATTACTATCGATATTATATATATTAGCAATTTGCAAACAAGAATTTTTGTGTTATAAAAATTAAACTAAACACTGTGTAGACAAAATCANCGAAACAATGTTTTTTAAAATGGAAAGAAATAAAAGAAACAGAGAAGACACCACATGAGAGGAAGAAAACAAATCACAAAAATCAAAATCAGAAAAACCAAATCAAAATCACGAAATTGAGAAGAAACTTACATTAATTCGAGAATTGTGGTTGATGAAAGTAAACCGAATCAGATTTTAACTACTAGAAGTCGACAGAGGGAAGTAGAGAAGTCTGTGTTCTGCTTTAATNATTGCTTGATGAGAATCCCTAATTTTATTTAATTAGGAAAAGCAAACCTTCTAAAGCAAATAGAGGATTCTATTAANTTTTATATTGACAATATGTATATGGGCTTGTAAACAAAACAAAACAATCGAATGGGCTTTTGTGTTTATTGATTATTGACTCAGATTATTTTTTTCAAGTGTGCATCCAAATAATTAAGAGGGGCATAAACAAATCTATCAAGAGGGGTAATTTAAAATCACTTAGCAAATTACTCTAATTTTTTTTTTTTATGGTGGGCAACTGCCCCCCATGCTAACCATGTGCATTCGCCACTGGAGCTCAAGCACCGTGGTTTTGATCCCGTTATTGGTAAGTTTCATTACTAGGAATTCATTTGTTATGTTTTTGATTGAATTTAACAAGAAGAAAACTTTGTTTTTTATTTTTCGTCAATGATAATTTTTGTTTTGATGGGCTGGTGTAAATGTTGATTTGGTGCAATGGGGTGGACTGGGAATGTGCAAGCAATACAACAACAAGAGATGATGGCTCCTCCGACTAGTCAACGGATGAGATGATATATATTCTTGTTATTTTTTTCACAACATGGTTTGTATTATGCTTTTTTTTTGGGTTTGTTGTAACGTTTTTATATTTTCATGGCCGAAAAAAAAATTGTAAGGCGATGATTTCCTGTTCGTGGTAGAGCCCATTAAAAAGCATGAGTGTGAATTTCACGTAATTTCTTCCTATTTTCGAAATGTGAATAAATTTCTTCAATATTGTACATTTAATATAAAATTATCAGAAATTCTACACAAACTTTTCAGAAAGTGAGACTTTTAAACAGGTTGGGTGTTGTAGTTCATATTGGTTCGGTTGATTGAAGATAGAATAGTGAAATCAATGAGTGGAAAATGGGTTATTAGATTTCTAACCTATGGTCCAATACACATTTCTGATATGAGGCTCAAAAACTGCCTCTGTTTTTTAACCATTATTTACTAATTTAGTTGTCTAGTTTGGTTACTACTACTAGTTTACAGTTAACAATTTAAACTATTATCGCTCGCGCGGATGAAAATATTACAGCCCGAAACACCGACGGATCTTACGGCCAATTCCGACTGTTTCGCCGGATAACTCGGCATCCGTAGCTGACGTAGCAATCTCTGGCTCCTTGAACTTCGCTTTCTCGCTCAACTCCTCGAACGAGTCCACCACATTTTGCAACCGAGCAACGAACTCTATGAGCAGCGATGCGAATGTCGCGAGAGACAATGCACTCGCGCTCTCGTACGTCTCTGTCGTCTCCAGCAACGGGGAAGCTCCGTTTGTCGTCTCTAGATGCGGCGGAAGCACAAGCCGTGCAGGCCACGACACCTGTTTTGAGAAAGTAGGCCTATGGTTCAATGGCTCACGGTGATTCTTCTCGCCCCAGCTCTTCGGTATCTGCAGAACCGCCTCACTTAGGGATTTGATGGCGTAGATCGGAGCCTCGAGTTGCTCTGGTGGATCTGAATCTTCGAGGGAGAGAAGTTCTTGAGGCTCCGATGGTGATTCCTTGGTGGATCGGTTTCCGATCTCCCAGTATTCAGAGTTGACGAGAAGGTAGGATTTCTTGTCGATCTTGTGCTGTAATTCTTCGGCAGCTAAGTGTACTTCGAAGAGCAAATCGACTGGTCCTAGCTTCTCCATCTTCTTAACCTTTTCACCGAGCACTCTTAACAATTTGGCTCCTTCTACACCAACTCTTTGAAGTTCTTGCCTGAAAACCTGTCTCCTTTCTTCAGGCGCCTATGAAATGTTTCAAGATTAGGATCAACTGTCTTGTTCTCTTACCCCTAAAATCCTCATATTGTATTGAAATCGAATGAAAGATAATTCACGAGTATCTGAATCTTTTGAGATATGATTAAAGAAACATTGAAGTTAGAGAGGGAAAGTGTTACCTGGATTTCAGAGAGAATGCAACCGTGCAAAGCCATCACAGTGAATGCACAATGCTTGAGAGCGCCGCTGAGCTTGACGTAGTTCTTCCATGGGTAGTTAAATGACCTGTATGGTCCGTGTGGTGGCTCCCATATAGCGAAACTCATCTTCGCAATCACAACAGGGAAAAAACAAACTACTTCAGAGACGAGAAGCAATGGAAGAAGAAATAGTTTTTAAAGATAATGATTCCGCAATGACAAATACCAGAGACTCTTCTTGGCTGGTTGACTCAACCGCTGATCTGTAACCCTTGTAAACCGGATCCTCTGAGGCTTGGTACGTAAGGATTTTGGATGGGATTCTCTCGTATTCAACACAGCGTAGGTATCCATTGACACAACCTATAAAACACCAAATGACAATATCAGTTAAGCAACTACTTTACGAGACTCGAAAAGCCGAAAAAACCTTTGTTTTACTGACCTTCAAGAGAAGTAGCGACATTCATGAAATTCTTCACAACAAGGTTATGAAGATCCTCTCCAGCCCAAATAGGATATATAAACATATTGACACCTAAACTAACACCAGCTCCAAGAGCTATAAGCAGAAACCGAGAGATAGCCACTTCTATGAACTGCCCTGTTCTAAATCCGGAAATCAGAATATAACAATACGTAAGCAAGAAAACCCGGAAACCGTATTCATAAGCTTTCATCGCCGGGTACAGTTTCATGAAAGTTGCAATAAACCCTGAAACAAAAGAGACACCTATTATAAGCATAGAGAAACCCCAAAATGATGCTTTCAACAGAAAGTTGAAAGAATGGTGTAAAGCACAGAAAACACACCAATGCAGAAGATACTAATAGTACAGAATAACTCTTCCCAGCTTCCGGTTAGAGTCGAAAGCTCAGCCATTCCAAGAGCAAGACCTCCAGCTGATAATGTCCCAAGTGCTCGATTAAACCCTTTGCTTAGTGTTGCTCCTATTAGAAAACAAACAACAGTCCTCTCAATAATGTAAAACACAATTTCTCTTAAAACTTACAAGTATTGATTTAAGTTCAAATGATACAGTAATCGTCAAAAAATTCCAGTCAAAACCAAATCAAAACTTGCCTAATATATTAATTTTAAAACACGAAAACGACGAATTCAAGAAATGAAAGCAACGACACAGAAACAAGCCAAAAACCACAGAAAATTCCAATGGAATGATTGATTTTACCGATCGTGAATTCGAAGACGACGACGACGGTAAGAATAGCCCAAACAGAGTAACGGCTGAGATCCGGATTAGGTTCCTGGAAGAAAATCAAAACCGCTACAATCGTCAGAGCAAGACCAATCTTCGCGGAGAAGACGATCTTTCTCGGATCAGATACACCCATCTCCCAGGCTTTCCTCGCTACATCTTTAGCATCCTGATAAACACCGGAGATTTTCTCGGCTAGATTCCCGCACGAACAGCAGCAGCATAACCTTTTCCTTCCGTAGCCATCACCTTCGAGTAGATCGTTGGACTCGATGTCGGTGAATCTGAAATCGGAGGAGAAACCATTATTAGAAAGAAGCTTCTCTCGTTTCTCGAGTATTCCGTTCCTGAAGGAACTTGGCTTCGCCGCCATTGATGAACCCACTCAGAAGAAGGAAAGCTACTTTAATGGCGGAGATAATTTTGACTGACGAGAGACGAACGAAACTGTTTGGTTATAGTGGGG